CCTAACCCTTAACTGTACCCCACAATATCATAATAAAAAATATCAATTATTAAAAGAAAAGAAAATGGAAGGTTGAAGTCTACCTCTTTTATTGCTGAGCTTAGTCTCACTTTATAACTGTCAGTTTTTCTTTGTTTGTTTGCTTGTTCACCTAGCCTTTTGCTTGTTTATTTTTAATTAACCATCCACTCAGTCTAAACTCTTACTAGTTTCCAGAGTTCTAGTTATGTTAATTCTGATGGTTTTTGTCAGTTTATTTACTAATTTAGTTGGGGATGGAATTTGGGATTTCTCTAGTTTACTGTTTTCACTGATGTCACTCAAGAAGGATTTCTTAAGACACAAAAGCTACTAACCATAAAATATGTATGTATTTAGCTAAATTAAAGCTAAAAGATTTTGTTCATCAGAAGATGTGATAAAGTAAGCCACAGAGTAAGAGCAGGCATCAGCCGGGCTCCGTGGCTCAGCCTGTAATCCCGCGCCTTGGGAGGCTAAAGTGAGTGAATTGCCTGAGCCCGAGGGTTCGAGACCCGCCTGGGCAACTTGTTGAGACCTCATCTCTACAATAAATCAAAAACTTAGCCGGGTGTGGCAGCATGTGCCTGTAGTTCCAGCTACTTGGAAGGCTGAGACGGAAGGATCACTGGAGCCCAGCAGGTCGAGGCTGCGGTGGCCAGGAGTGGCCACTGCACTCTAGTCTGGGTGACAGAGTGAGACTCCAACTCAAAAAAAAAAAAAAAGAACAGGCATTGGTACCACATACAGCTGATAAAGGACCAGTTAGCCGGGCTCGGTGCCTCAGCCTGTAATCCGGCGCCTTTGGGAGGCTGAGGTGAGTGGATTGTCTGAGCCTGCGGGTTTGAGACCCACCTGGGCAGCGAGACCTCATCTCTACAATAAATCAGAAAAATAGCCAGGTGTAGTGGTGTACACCTGTAGTTCCAGCTACTTGGAAGACTGAGGCAGAAGGATCACCTGAACCCAGTAGTATGAGGCTGTGATACCTATGAGTGTTCCACTGCATTCCAGCATGGGTGACAAAATGACATTCTGACTCAAAAAAGAAAGAAAAGAAAACCGAATAAAGGCGAACTAGAACAAAAGATTTGAACAAAGACTTTACAAAAAAGAATATCTAAATGGCTGATAAATCTATGGAAAAGATGTTCATTCACATTAACAGTCAAGGAAAGGAAAAATAAAACCACAATGTGATATTGATATGTACCCAATAGGTTTTTAAAAATTATTAATACTGACAATATTAGGGAGAACTAAGTTGTAGAATTAGAGGAAATGTTACTATTCTTTGTTGATAGGTGCATAAATTAGCTTAACCAACTTAGAAATTTATAAAAGAAGGTATTCATGCCCTATAACCAGCAATTCTATTCTTGAATATATATCCCAGAAATGTATGCATGTGAGTATCATGATTCATGAACAAGAATGTTCATAGTGGTAGAGATCATAATGTCTTCAAAATGAAAACAATGCAAATGTCTATCGGCAGAGTAATCTATATTCACTGCTTCCTTTTCCCTATCCTAAACTTTTTACTTGACCATGTCAAGTTCTGTCATTAATTAATGAAATAGCACTCACTTTAGTAACTAATTACTACCATCTTGTTCTTCAATGTCTGTTTCTTCCCCCCTTTTCTAGTTTTTGTCTTAGTATATTCTTCCCATATGATATAGCACCTTCAACAATCAGTTACCAGTTTCAATTCTATTACCATTCTAAAAATAGAAATCTTATTTGTTTCTCTAACTTTAGCAACTATAGGTTTCTTTTTTTAAGATGGAGTGGGAGGATTTGTTTCCAAGCTATGTAATGAAATTGCAAATTTATGCTTGTCAGTATTAACTGGATCCGCAATGGTAATTGTAAATTCCTTTGCCTTATACTTACTTTATGCTCATTTATCAATGCTTTTTTTCCAGAATTTTACAACTCCCCTAAAGTTATGTTTCCCACTTTGACTTTCCCTTATTCTCATCAGTAGACACAAGCACCCCCAAAATAGTAATAATGAAGCTCTCCTTTTTCCCACAATGTACCCTGCTTTATTATCCATACTTGATTCCTTAATTCATATCTACTCTTTTAACTTTACTAGTAACTTCTTTAATAGCTGAATATAATGCCTTCTTTTCAGCTCTTTCTCTATTCCTATTCTCTCTCATATTTGCTTTTTAAAAAATATCTCCATGAAACTTTCTTCTTTTTTCCATTCTCTGATGCTCACCCACCTTGATTTTCTTCTTTTATCTCTATTAGTTTATTATGGATATGGGTACCAAATAATTTATCTTCCAAATAAGAATGCTTTTGAAAATGAAAAGAGGTGCTGTTTAATAATTGAATCAAGATAACAGGTATAAACCCAAGTTGTTCAAGGAAAAGCAGAATAGGTGGTTTATAGATCTTATCTTCTTCTACCTTTTCTCTTGTTAATCCCTTAATTTTAATATTACCTAGAATTTCCACCATCTTTTATCTCTCATACTCTCCTTGGGTGATCTAAACCATTTGAGTGACTGAAATTACCACCTCAATTGATAATTCTCAAATTACATTTCCAATACCTAACTTTTCCTGATTCCAGACCCATATAGCCTATCAGATAACTCCAGACTAATAGCCCAAGAGTACATAGGCCCAAGATTTAAACTTATCTTCTTCTTCAAATATCCTATTGTTTTAGTTACATATACACACACATTGATATGTAGTTATATATACACTTATGTGTATAAGTCTAGAGATATATATCATACACAGAGACATTGCTTTGTTAGATACTGAACATATATTAGCAAAAACATTATTTCATCATAACTATGCATTTTAGTATGGGAGATTGACATTGATCAAACAACCATACATTTAAATGTAGTATAAGTATGGTCATTACTGTGAAGGAGAGGGATGTGGTGTCATGTGAGGTATAATAGGGGTATTTGGCTTTCTTCTTTCTAATACATGACCTTTTTTATTAGACAAAGTGGCAACAAGTAGCTCTTCAGAATTAGACTATCTTTATTTCTTGACAATATTTATCACAATTCACTACTCAAAATGCTAGCAAATGGTGTAATTTTTCTCCTCAGAATTCCTATTGCTTTTCATACTAGTTATGACTATATTGTTAATAAATCACATAAAATGTCAAGTACTGAAATGATAGCAGTAGCATTGGTATTTAGCATGTTGATATAGAAACTTAATAAAGGAACTTTTACAAAAATAGTGCATCATTTTTGAGAAAGAAACGAGTACCTTTTAGTCACAAGTCTGGACTAAAAGGTTAATTTAATGACTAATTCAGGAGTACCTTTCAGTCACAAAGTCTGGCTGCTGCTCTCTTCTTTTCACATAGTAAATGATGTTTGTTGATTGAAAATTAACATTATTAATTCCTTTTTCTGTCATATGTGTTTCAGTTCTTGTGCTCAAAACTTGAAAGTCCTCAAGCACCCGTTCCTAGAATATTTGTGCCCATGACCACTAGCCCAGAACATTAACTAAGTTATGCATAGTCTTTGTAGCAATCTGGTGAGGCAGATATTATCATTGTCCTCATTTTTTCAGGTAAAAGAAATGGCAATGAAATTTCTATTAGAGTCTCAGCAGAAGTCAGATAGAATACTTCAACAGATAATTGAAGAGAGTGTAGTAAGGGACCATAGTATGTATAAAGGTTTGACAGAATTTAGGAAAGCTGCCAGACATCATGAATACTCTGGGACTAGTAACAGTGGGAACTTTTAATATGCCTAATCCTATGTGATAAAGGGACGGAGTGATATTAGAATTCAGAGAAAGAGCTGTAAATGAGAAGAACAGTCTGACAAGAGCTGTGATCTTGAGTTGAGAGGCACAGCCAATCTATGATGATCTGGTAGAGGGAACCATGGGAATAAATACCAAATCTTACTTTACACTAACTCACATTCTTCTGGCAGTGCCTGCTACTGGTTGAACCCTGTTGGAAGCCAGAGCGCACAAAAGAGCTTGTTGATACTATCTCCACAGGTCAGCTTAGCTCAGAGAGGGTAAAAAAATGTAGGAAAACAAATCTGAAAGGGAAATAAAATTAAATAACTTGCTGAAGATTTCAGAGTATTAAATGGCAGAGCAAGTATGGGGCGGGGGAGGGGTGGGGACACAAAAAAACCCCGGAATGTATTTATAATAAATCGTGTATTTATTCTTACATTTAAACTTCAGTCACTTTCAAAATACTCTCTGTTTAATGCAGTTCACCTATCGAGATGCTTTTTCCACTGTTCAAAACAGTTTTTGAATGTATCAATTTTGATGACTTTTAGTGCTTCTGCTGTTTTTTGTTTCACCTCTTCTACATTGGCAAAATGTTTATCTTCAAGGATGTTTTTCATCCAGGGAAATAGAATAAAGTCACTCAGGGTGAGATCAGGTGAATAGGGAGGGTGAAGCAGGGGTATTATGCCATTTTTGGTCAAAAACTGAGTGTGGTGTGGGCAGGTGTGCTGGTAGATCTCCCATCATAAAATGGACAAACACACTGAAAGAATCTTTAGAAAAATTCACTGAAGCCAAATGCAGCCTCTCACAACAATGCTGTCTGATACACTGACGCTGATGGGTTCCTAGAACACTTAACCTGCGGAGGAAGCCTGTACTACAAGGGGCCCACCCTCCAAAAAATAATTTTGGATTTTTGGGAGGGTCCCCCCCATACATGAGTGACAAGTGCTTTACTTCTAACCATAATGCTATACTTCCTCTCTTTAAAAAAAAGTTATGAAATATTATTTACCAGGAAAAAATATTTTAAATCTGGAAGTTTATGTCCTATCCCAAATTATTGGGTGCATTTATACCTTATAGTAGGTGACAACCAATATATGCAAACTGAACAGCAAAGAATGCCAGAAAAAAAAAATACAAGTTAGGCTTGCATGTTGGTTTTACTTGTTGGCATTTACAGAATATTAAACCATAGTTGTTCCCCTTGTTCAGATTCCAGACTCCATCATTTCTCGTGGTGTTCAGGTGCTCCCACGAGACACAGCCTCCCTCAGCACTACTCCTTCAGAATCGCCTCGTGCTCAGGCTACATCTCGCCTCTCTACAGCTTCCTGCCCAACACCAAAAGTAAGTACAGATCCTTTGTACCTTTCTTTACTGTGGAAATCTGGGAAAACTAACCAATATTTCCTTCTGCTTGTCAAGGTTGGATTGCATGCAACATAATACTATGAAAAATGAATAGAATGTAAGATAGTTACCACCTATTGTTTTACAAATTGTCACAATAGACCAACAGATTTCATACAAAATGTCTTCTACATCACAGCTAAGGATATCACTTTCTGTAGCTCCTGTGTCTTTGTTGTAGACTTGTTATTTTTGAGCATACTCATCAATATAGATGTAAAATTATTTGTTTATACTAGAATGAGTGTACTTTTGGCCAATAAACAGCAAGATTAACAAAATACTGTCACCAAAGGGATTTTTTTTTAACTTATTCAGGCTGGGGTAGCTCCCTGCTCTAGTATCATTCCACATTTTTTCAAATATATTCAACTTGGAATGTTGCTGCCTAATATTTGGAAACAAATCTAAATTTATTAGAAAGTTTTAATGCCAACCTTTGGGGGAGGGAAGGAGATTCTTAATCTTTATTGAATTGGCAGAGGGGGAGGATTAGACTTTTATTTTTTGTTCACATCTTTGTGTATATGATAAATTAACTAGAAAATTATTGCTGTGACTGCCTTCTCCTGGAGTGTCTCTTCCCTGGTTAAGTTTGTCATTTGTGCTTTCAAGTTCTCTATATGATGAATCCAATATTGGCATAGAAAGATTAACAGTAACATTCCTTTTTACTTAATAAGACATGTTTTAGGTAGCAGGCTACACACTAAATTTGTTCTAGGGATCTGACAGTTAATTTTTCAAACTGTGGCTTTTTCTCTGTTATCAGATTTAAGGAACTGTATAGTTGTCTTCCTCAATTCCAACTTTTTCATCAGTGTCTGAATGTTATAGTTTTATTTGACTAAAAGCAATGTTAAACACTTCTTGATGTGGGTAGTACAGTTTGTTTTACATTACATGGTACATCTTCTCAGCAAAGTTTTCAGTTACTGTTGTGTATTATTGTTTTTAGGCATATGTTAAAAATAACATATATTAATATATTCATTTAAAACATGAAGATTCTAAATCTGCATTGAAGAAAAACTGTAAGAACATTCTAGACATAAAATGCATGGTAATGCCATTTTGGGTGCCAGTCATTTTCAACTGACTGAAAACAAGGAATTCCCAAAACCTAAATTGGATAGAAAAATCGTATCCATGTCTTTTAAGTTATTAAAGCAAATTAAAGTATAGCTTGACTGTATTAAAATCCTATTGAACACGCCAGACTCATTTATAATTAAAACTAAAAGTTGGGTAGACTTAAATGTTGGGAATACAGAACTATTCTAGACATAATATTTTTTTTCCTTGATTATGTAGTAAAATCATAAATGTTTAAAAAAAGATTTTAGGATTAATTGAATTATACATAGTAGTTCTTGAGCCTTTTAAAAACGTTCTAATTATATTTTAGTTACAAGCAAGATATAAAATACCATTGTAAAAATCATCTGGTACTTCCAAATTCAACAAAGTAAAATCCTGAAAAATAAAAATGTTAACATTTATTAAATTAATTTGCTCATTATAAAACTTTAGGAGAGCAAGTGACTTATTTTGATGTTTCTTCCTTAGATAACATTTAGATGGTTAAACTGACAATGAATTCAAATAAAGAGTGTATTTTGTCTGGGAATAAGATGATATTCCTTTTAGATGATTTTTATCAGCACTATATACCTTAAGGATAAAATTACTGCTTTGGTATGATTTTTAATATAAACTTTAAATACAGAGTTAAAATACTAATGTAATAAACTAGTTTGAATATTAATATTTTCAAAGGAGTGAAAAAGTGAAATTGATCGTTCTAATGAAAAAGTTCTCATAAATTATAAGACAGCTTAATTGAATCTAAACTAAGTGTCCTTATAAGTACTTTAATATCAGTGACATATAGTCTCTGCCTTCATGGAGATTACAGTTTAACTGAAGATATATTACAGGAAGGTTATTCCTTATCCAAAATGCTTGGTACCAAAAGTGTTTTGATTTCAGAATTTTTCAGACTTTGGAATATTTGCAGATATTTAATCTGGTTGAACATCTCTAATCCAAAATGTTATAATGAACATTTCCTTTCAGCTCAAAAAGCTTAAGATTTTGGAGTATTTTAGATTTTGGGTTTTCAGATTAGGCATACACAACCTGTGAAATAAACAGGTAGATCAACATAAATAATTTTAATAATTTCACATTAACTTAGTAATTATAAATTTAAATACATGCTAAGAAGAAATGAAAAAGTTGTGCTGAAAGAAAATAATAGCAGAGGACCATCATTTAGAGAGGGTGATCAGAGAAAGCCTCTCTAAAGAGTAACATTTCACTGGGAGCAAGGATGAATGGAAACTGAACATGAACTTTTGTGCCCAGTGGAGGTTTTAAGAATTATGTTCATCAATAAGGGCCACTTTAAAGTTAGTTATCACCAGTCAAAAACTCCTAGGCTGAAACTTTTCACTAGTATATAAATAGTCAAACTTAGTAATTTCAGTATCAAATTTCAAATATCAGTCATTTTTTATTTAAAAGATGTTTTTCCTTTCCCTACTGAGTTAAATTTCAAAGTCATAAATTTTAGTACCTAGTTCTGTTCTAGGTAAATTATTTATTTTAATTTTTTAGCATAAAAATTGGGGGCAGAGAAGTCAAAAGTGATTCTAGGATTTCAAATTCAATTGGTAGTTAATATAATTAATAACACTATTGTTAGATTATAGTGTTATTAACTATATTAAGGAATTTAAAAAACAGCAAATTTTCAGAGTAATGTATTTTTATTGTGAATGTGTTCATTCTGAGGTATATGTGAGATAACCAAGGATCAATACTTAGCACAAAATTGGAAATACAATTTGAGTTTGAAATTCTACTGCATCTTGGTTGTGATATATATAATTTAGTATACATTAGTGTTGACCAAATCCCATAGAAATTCCCTCTCTGCATTTTGAATTAGGCATGCATAGACTGTTATGTGCAGAGATATATGTGCAAATATGTTTTCTTTACATCAGACATATAATATAGTTTGAAGTTTTAGCACTAGAAAGAACACTTAACTTGATAATAGAAGACCTGTATTTAAGTGATTGCCTCTCTACTTAATGATCACACTAAATTTAGCAGGTTGGTTAACTTTACTGAGCTTCATGTCTATTAGGAAACTGGCAATTCTTGTCTTCATAACAATGATTTATTCGTTCATTACATAAGTCCTTGTTTTGTAGTGGGAAAGCAATAGTAAGTGAGTAAACATTGCTCCTGCCTTTACAAATAGATAAAACAAGCAGCTACAAATTAAAATATAAATATAATAAATAATATGATTTATCACAGGAGTACAGAATATTATGGAAATAGCCCCTAGAAGCACTTAATTGAGTCTTTGTGAAAGCACAAAAGGACTAAATAGCTAGGTTATGATTCAAAACTAACAGTTTCAACCTTTCCCTCTGTAGTTTTTTTTCACTGGACAGCATTTAAGCTGAGAGAGAGAATTCCTGTTCATTTACATGTGTACATCTATTTATTTAGGTTAACAACTACGATATTAAACATTATTTTGCATTTAAATTTTACATGTATATTGCAATATAATATCCTGGATTATGCTTTGATCCTTTAAGATTCTCCAGCTAGCCGGGCTCGGTGGCTCAGCCTGTAATCCCGCACCTTTGGGAGGCTGAGGTGAGTTGATTGCCTGAACCCACGGGTTCGAGGCCCACCTGGGCAGCGAGACCTCATCTCTACAATAAATCAAAAAATCAGCCGGGCGTGGTAGCGCATGCCTGTAATTCCGGCTACTTGGAAGGCTGAGGTGGAAGGATCACCGGAGCCCAGCAGGTCGAGGCTATGGTGGCCAGGAGCAGCCACTGCATTCCAGTCTGGGCGACAGAGTGAGACTCCAACTCAAAAAAAGAAAAAAAATATTCTCCAGCTATAGTGAGAACAAGATCTATAAAATATAACATGTCTTGATTCCCTTTCATGATAATCGTGCATTATCCTTTCTAAATACTTCATAGATTGCATTTTCTCCAGCAAAAATTTATTAACTGAAATTACATTTTATTATATATGGGATAAAGTTATTTCTCTTTTATATCAGATATTTTTTGGTAATCTGATGAATTGACAAATTATTTTCACTCCTCTTGCTTTATGACAGTGAAGTATTTTTCAAGCCAAAGTTGGGATTTTTGCCTTTTATTACTCTAAGTAAAATAGAGCCTAAGTCAAATAGTATGTAGATTCTATTTAAAGTAGTGCAGATAGTATTTAGAGAACTAAAATAATGATAGTCTTCCAAAAAATAGTTGCTGAAAGAATAGTTCTATAACAGATAATCTCCCTTTAAAGTCAGCATGGTTCACAATTTAGATGAGTGCTGATTTTTTATTATGGAGTATAGCGGTATCTCTATTAAAAAATTGAATAAAGAAAAAATAATGACCAGAACAAAAAAATTTTTTTTAATTTAATATTTCAGTCAGTTCATTCCCTTTAGATGGTATTAAAATAGAGAATATTTTTAATGGCCAATTTTTTATTCTTTTATTCCCTATGCATCTGAGGTTAGACTTTGAAAAAGTAAATATAGTCTATAGTCACATTTCCTTGTACCTTAAATGATAGAAAACAATTCTCTGTCTATACTAACCAGCAAGTTGACTTTTTTCCCCTTAGGAAGAAAATATAAACACTATCAATATCTAATTGAACTAAAGTTTATACAATGATTAGAAAGTATAAGTATTGAAATATATATATGAGGGTATCTTGCTTTAATATACTAATGTCTAATACTATATTCAAGCAAAATACATAATTATTGCTTCTTTTGTAGGTTTCTGTTATTGTTCTTTAAGTAAAAGAATTTGTATTTCTTTCTTTCTTTTTTTTTTTTTTTTTTGAGTTGGAGTCTCACTCTTGTCGTT